TATTTTGGGACTTTTGTAAAATTCAAATTCAATTCAGTTTGTAAAATTCAAAAATGGTTGAAAAATTAGTGGGTGAACAATCATTCATTCTCTATTGCCCTTTGAAATTTTAATGTGATCAGGATCGGTACCGATTCTTAAACCTTATCGAATAGGAATCAAATTGTAGAAATCGGACTATCCTATAAAACGTTGTGCATACATAAAAAAATCAAATATACGAATGACTAGACTACCTCCTCCGTTTTCACGTCAATTAATAAAAAAAACAACAATTATATTTTAATTTTGTAACCTTTCAACATTTTTATCGCATAAAAAAAACAAATTGCTTTTTTAAAAACTTACGCTAAGTCGTTCTAATTTTAAAATTTCCGAATGCAAATGGCCACTTATCGTGGAAAAACAATAAAGAGTCATATTATATTTAAACATGTAGGGAACTACAAGCATCAGACTCGTCATTAATTATCAACATAATATTCTTTCCCTACATAACTACAGAACAATTTACACAGAAGTAAAATTTCGAAATGTCTTACAGTAACAATAAACAGTTGCATTGCGATAATTAGTTAGATAGCGCAGCTCCCATGCCGCCTTACGGCAATGATACACCACGCTCTCACATATGTACCCACGGGATGCAAACGGAATCCCACGGGGCTACTGTCTGCTTATCACCACTGTGAATTAGGCCACAGATTAGGAAGAGATCGTAGGAGAACCTAAAATTAACCGTATTTATGCGAATTAACTGGATCAATAGAGTACTGGGCGTAGTTTTAGGCGGGCTGAGTCGCTCTGTGACTACGGTTAGTGAAACTAATTCGAAACGTAAAGCAATCAAAGCAAATGTAATATATATTTTATATATATATGTATGTATTGTTAGCGTTATTTGAATAAATAATTATATTGGTTTATAAATATTTATAAACCCGTCTGGCGAGCGTGGTATAGTAGGTCAAAACCTCCTTTCTAAGGAGAGGCCTATGCCCAGCAGCCGACTATTAAAGGCTGTTGACGTGATAAATATTTATTTAAGAATTTATGAATTTTAAAAGTTTAAAAGTTAGTACTGCAACTATGTTTTACACACAATTTATTCAGGTGAATCAGGTTAGAATTTTTAATTCCTCCATTCCAATCGTGGGAGAGCCATGCATCGGCAAATATGGACCAGGCTCAACCGGAGTGATGCCACGGCCTCACAGAGAACTGGTGTTAAGCAGTTCTTTCATTGGCTTTCACCGAGTGAGTGTGGTACTGGTTACTGGAGCCCAAACGTTCCCCCATAAGGGTGTGTGTTACTGAAAGGGCGGCAACGTAACGTTGTGACTCTTCAGGAGGTACAAGCGCGTTGCCAGCCTTTGAGGAAGGAGTACTCTTACTCTTTTCTTGAAGGGGTGAAGGTCATATCGGTCCGGAAATAGCGCAGACGATAATTTATTCCACAATTCATTCATTAACTTTAAAATAAATGCAATGCAATAATAAAATTTAGTGATAGTCTATATTTTGCGATCGAATTGCAATCACCGATGATTGCAATTGCAGATTTGATCAAATGTTAGATTAACGGATCAAAATATACGTCTGAAGACATCACGTATTTGTGTGTACGCCAAAAGGTTGAATAAACTTTTAATTACGTGTTGAAAAACTTGATATAATTGAACATTTTTTATTAATTTAGTAGTTTACAAAAAAAGTTATGCTAGATACCGTTATTGTACTTATTAATTAGAGGATTTTAGACACAACAGTCGGAAAAAACACATTAAGTTTTAGTAGACTTCATCAACAACATTTTTGAAGGAAGTTTATCTAGAAAAGATAACGGCCTCTAATCTGTGTATTCCAAGGTCTTAATTCTTACAACTGTTTATGAGGAATGATGGCTGTCAAATATCTGTCAATACAACCAGAAACAAATCCTCTCTAAAAAGAGGTTAGGACTAGCCTGTCATTCTAGAGTACACAGAGCTCATTGGTCTAATTCATGTTTTTTTTTCTTGATTAACAGAACTTTATGGGCTCGCGAAAATAATAGATGTTATCGTAACTTTTTATTAATAATATTGTTATGCGAAACCTTTTCGTACTTCTTTTATTTCGGTTCTATTTATTGGTTTAAAAAAATAGCAACCTCTAAAGACAGCCGTTATCATGACTCTGAAGGCTCTCTACGAAATTACAATTAGGTAATATTTATTTTTGTTCTGAATACGAGCGACTTTTAACTGTAGATATTTTATTTCCATTTTTAAACACCTTTAAATTTTTTTGTGTTTGACACAACGATTTCCTGATTTGCATACCGACCTTGCACATTAATGATAAAATGAAGACATTTCATCATTAACAGCCTTTAATAGTCCACTGCTGGACATAGGCCTCTCCTTAGAAAGGAGGTTTTGGCCTACTATACCACGCTGGCCAGACGGGTTGGTATAGGGTTTGTGTCAAGTTTTCGTTCTCTCTGCAGTGCTGTTGTTCTGCGTAGTTTGCTCCCTTAGTCGGCTCTTACGACACCCACGGGATGAATAGGGGTGGTGACACTCTGTATTCTTAATCCGTCACCACACGGACCCCGTCACCACACGGACCTTGCACAGATCATGATATTTATAAAAAAATCTGCTGAACATTCTTAATTTCTATAATATGAAATAGGTTTCCTTGTCCAAGTATCTTTTTAGTTATCCAATTCACGCATCACTTTGTAAAGGCATCCTGTAAATGCTTCAATCTTATAAAAAACAACTATTAGACAGTAAAACGAGTAATGATAGAAAGATAAATTTTACTCAAATCTTTGTTCCCCAAAGTAATTACGTACAATTAAATAAATGTTGCAGAAAGGATAAGGAACCAATCGTCGGCCAACAATGTAACAAGCAAACCACACTAGACAACGTAGTGTAGTCTTCATTTTGTACAATTGTGACAGCTACGCGGAACGCCGTCCACGACACAAAATACCGTTTTCAAATATTAAAAATGAGTGAATATAGTGTAGTCTTCTAATGAACACGAACAAAATATAGCTAGGTGGCGCGTGGGAAATGTTCCCATGCACCATTGTGGCGGCCACCAGCTCTCCGGGGTCGAGCACCGGCCCCCTGACGATAAACACTATGAATAATAATGCCTAATTAAACCTTATTTATCCAGATAATTAATTAAACAAAACCGGTTACACACAATATATGTTATAATTGAAAATTACTGAGAACTTTTACTGTAAAAGTGCAACGTAATATTTGTAGCACGCACGCATCACATCAACAGCCTATAATAGTCTCCTGCTGGACATATGCCTCTCCTTAGAAAGGAGGTTTTGACCTACTATACAACGCTGGCCAGATGGGTTGGTATAGAGTTTGTTTCAAGTTATCCTTCTATTTGCAGTGCTGTTGTCCTGCGTAGTTTGCTCCCTTAGTCGACTCTTACGACACCCACGGGATGAATAGGGGTGGTGACATTTCGTATTTTTAATCCTTCACCAATCGATATATGTGTATGTATAAATAATATTAGATATTGTTAATATAGCAATTGTACACTAGTTTAGTACATCACACATTAAAGGGGTACATCACATTAATGATCAGTGACAGACACAGTGGCAGACAAGTGACAGAGTATATCTTCCTTTTTCTTAAAATTTGGTTTGGGTCGGTCTTAACTTCAATACGATACATCTGAATTTCGTTTTTAGGGTTCCGTGCCTCAAAAGGTAAAGAAGGAACCCTTATAAGATCACTTTCTTGTCCGTCTGTCCATGTGTCACCACCGATTTTCTCAGGAACGGGTAGACCTAGCAAGTTGAAATTTCACCAGATACTGAGGTGACAGTGTATGAAAAACAAGGTCCTGAGTCAACACGATAGAAAGATATGGGTAAATTTAGATTTTTGTGAAAACTTGTAAGTACCAAAATTTACCTTAATTTTCAACTTTTTTTTATTTTTCAGAATTTTCTCTTTACTTGTGCTGTAAGACCTTGCTTTTATCCAAAATTGACAATTCTAGGTCAACTGGAAGTACCCTATAGGCTTTGGGTCAAAAACCTATATGGTAGTTCCCGTTGACCTAGAATCACGAAATTTGGCAAAAAGAAACGTCTTAGCACAAAGGAATAATTCCAAAAAGTGAAAAAAGTTGAATATTAAGATACATTTTGGTACTTACAAATTTTCGCGAAAATCTACGTAAAATCTGGGTAGGTACGGAACCCTCGGCGCACGACTTCGACTCGTACCTGACCAGTTTTTTTTTTTAAATGGCGGTATATAATATAATATAAGTTATAAAAAGACTGTGTGATAGTAAGACAATATCGTGTCCTTTGTTTCTTTACAAAAAGGATTTTGAAGGTATTAGCTTACCAAGCACGATATAGATATCATCAGTTATTTGTAGGTCATTGCGGCAGTATGGTGCTCTACGGAATACATGCAAACTAACAGTATTACAGAAAAACATTGTAGGGTGAAGGCTGTATTTTATGTTAAGGTACTAAGGGTTTAAATGCAATGACGACTTACGAAAATTTCTGCCTAAAAATTCAATAATATTTAGAATCTATATTTTAGAAATATTTGTAATATCCAACACATTATCAATTCATTTAATTGAAAATCCAAGGAGATTTAGGAATTAAGTTATGTCAGTTTGCAAATCTTCAATTCATGAAACTTTTGTGTTTCAAATTTGTATAATAATCATCCGTTAGGAACCACTTCTAACAAAAAGTTTAATTAAATCAGACATCATTGTTAACAATTATCTAACGCTTTGAAAACATCGCTACGTATGTAAAATTTCTTGATAAAAGATAATTATGAAAGAAATTTTGTTTTTGTTTTGTCGAATGAATTAAAAAAAATGATAACATTGTCTATGGAATATATTTTTAATATTTATGATAAGGCAATTATGAAATTACAATTCTATATATATATCTTAAAATATTTTTTCATTGTCCACAGATAATCCTAGCTGATGAGTGCACAGAAGCAGAAGGTCGCGCTTGGCACATGAAACACTTTGCATGTGCAGAGTGCGCACGGCAGCTCGGCGGACAGCGCTACATAATGCGCGAAGCACGCCCCTATTGCCTTCCATGCTTCGACAACTGCTTCGCAGAATACTGCGACGCCTGCGGAGAGCCCATCGGTGTAGACCAAGGCCAAATGTCCCACGAAGGGCAACATTGGCACGCCACAGAACGATGTTTCGCTTGCCACACTTGCCGAGCCAGTTTACTTGGCAGACCGTTCCTTCCACGCAAAGGCGCTATATTCTGCTCGATAGCGTGTTCAAAAGGCGAGCCTCCAACGCCTTCAGACTCTTCAGGCCCCGGTCCGAGACCTCCGCGAGTGCCAAAACCAAGACGAGTGCCTTCACCCAAGTCTCCACCGAGAACTCCTCAAAGAGAACCATCACCACATCACATAGATGCTGATTCTGAGCCTAGCGGGTCTATGGCACTGGAGTCGCCCCCTCCGCATCCGCCTCCACCCCCGCACGCCTGTCTTAGCCTCGACCGGGCACTAGCAGACCTTAGACTAGAACAATCTATGACAGAACACCAACTGCAGCCGACACCGACTTCAGACGATCAAAAAGAGGAATCGCCTGAGGACTGGAGACCACCTCATCCTGTTGAAGCTCTGGCAGTGGTCACGCCGGGGCATTCTTCTTCAATGCCTGAGCTAACATTAGTTGATGGAAAGAAATCTCCTAGGAAACCGAGAGGCGGTAGAACGGTAAGGTTTTGTGGGGACGATAATGCGGCGTTCGAGCCTGATGAGCCTCCGAGAAAAGAAAAGGTGAGAGACGAAGACGCGAGCAGTTACTGCAGCACTTGTTCTTCTTCCTCGTCTTCTGCAGAGTCTTACACATTACCAACGAGAAGAGCATACGGTGGTGTAAGAATATCGTACGTTCCGAACGACGCAGTAGCCTGCGCGAAACGCGAGAGACAGAGAAAGAACGCCCAACACGATAAAAACTGCATCATCTCGTGATCCTGGCTCCTAATAGTGCCTACCCCTCCGTGACACCGACCTCCGATATAAAAGACTGACTTTTTGATAGATTTTGTAGCCCCACAACGCCATAGTATTTTTAGATAGTTTACAAAAAGTCTTCCCTAGCTTTCGTCTTGCCAGGATAGGCCTACCGCAGAACGTGTATAAGTCGCGAATAAAAGAAATCCAGGTGTAAAACTCGGCATGCGTTTGATCATGTTGTGACGTGCACGTTTTCATCACAATCGCTATCGATATAAAAGGTTTAAATTCTAAAGGGTTTCGACAAATTCTTGTGTGTAATTTGGTATTAATCGGTTTAAAATGTGAGTTCCTTTCATTCTGTAACATCTTTGCTCACTGGTTGTGTTTGTAATAATTTTATTTGCCTTGCCATTTTGTTCGCGCGACCAAATGTTGCAAAAAAGTGAACCTTTTATTATAAAGGGGCGTAAGTTAACGTATAAACGTCAGCTTTAAATTATTTCTGATTTTAATATATAAAGTATAATATGCGTAACATATCGCCGCTTGTGTAGTTATTTGTTCATGAAATGATTAATTTAAGACATATCCCACTTCGCCACTATGTGTAACATAAGTTAGATTTAAGTAATTGTTGTATAGAATCAAGTACAAATAAATGTGTTATTTTGTATGGACGTTTTATACTTGAAATGTGTTCAAATGTGTAAATAAACAGGCCTGATTTAGGAATCCGTGAGTTTTATGTTCTAAATATTGCTATTTCTTAACATTCAGTATGCAACAATTTATGTATACCTACAGAAATACTCCGGGAAAATATTAATAAATACCATTTCTATATTATTGTAAACTATAATCCTTAGTTTTCAATTGTAAGTAATGATTTATAGGTATCGTTGCCTGCCGTTTGGGCCCATTTGCAATACCTATTATTCTCGTTAAATGTTCCTCTGGCAGAATTATCCTTTCTTCTTTCTTCTCATACGCCTAACTTGAGATGAACTATCTTTTATATATCTCTGGTCCTGTCCAAGAAACCAGAGGCTACATTTATAGGTTTTAAATTTTAAAAAAATCTATTATTATCAACATCAGATTCAACAGTTTTCTCAATGATTAGACGCCTCTGTGACGTCGTTCGTGTGTTTAGTTGACGGAACGAAAAACAAAAAAAATCAATTAAAATAATCTCAAAGCAATCACTACTTAAAATGGATAAAAACTTTCAGTTATCTTAAAATCATGATCATAGTGTGTAAAATTGAAAAATAATCTAATTTGGTTTTGATAAAGGATTCTGTTTACATAATTAGACCCGTAGGTGGTCCATTATCTCTCTCAGATAAAACAGTCTAAATTCTCCAGAAGCACAGAAGCTTTCCAGGACGACCTCGCACTCCAGAATAACGCATGTTGCTGTTATTCTGGGTCTACTCATTTCATTCTTCAGATACTGATTCTCTGATTCGAGAGTCTCTTAGCAGAGTCGACGTCGAATCCGTTCTTGTGATTATATCTGACCTGTCCACTGGTTAAATCTACGCAAATATAATTGTTTCAAGGTGGCTAACAAATCAACAAAAGTTTAAATGCCAATTTTGGACTTTGTGTTCAAAGGCTCAGTATAACAAGCTAAATGGCTTATAACTTACAACCTACTAGCACATTAACCTCCTTGGTAAGCCCAACAGAGCTAGTACTAGACTACACTCATCATCCACAGCCTTTACTAGTCCACTGCTGGACATAGGCCACTTCTTAGAAAGGAGATTATGGCCTACTATACCACGCTGACCAGACGGGTTGGTACAGGGTTTGTTTCAAGTTTTACTTCTCTTTGCAGTGCTGTTGTCCTGCGTAGTTTGCTCCCTCAGTCGGCTCTTACGACACCCACGGGATGAATAGGGGTGGTGACACTCTGTATTCTTAATCCGTCACCACACGGACTACAGTCATACACTTTTATATTTATTAAACTCTCACCATAACTAAATACTCAATTTCAAAGAACTCATGAATGAAAGGCGTATGTAGTATTTGTAAGTTTTTTTTTTTATAAAGAAAACCATGAATGTTGTACAAATATATGAATTGTAACGATATATGATTAATGTACGTAATTTTATAAGTTATTTGTAAGAGAAGATGATTAAAATGATTTCTAATAATTGATTTGTTTTCTTTTAATTCTTTCTTTTCTTTCTTTTTTTAAAAAGACAACTCCCGCATTAGGAATAAATCCTGTGTCGTGGGGGACTTTACAAACATACATGAAACGGACACAAAGAACACCCAGACTCAGAACAACAATTTGTGGATCACACAAAGTGTCGTCCTATGTGGGGTTTGAACCCACAACACTCGGTGTAGTAGGAAGCGGCGTGGCGACCGCTTAAACCACTACGCCATCCGTGCAGTCAAATTGTAGTAATGGGCAAAATATTCCCATGTAATCCAGGTATAGAGCACTATTCTGGACCTGGATTAGATAGTCAGAGGTGAGTCTACACGTTTATGTTACAGATCACCCTTATCGGGCCCTGGGTCAGGAACGTGATCTTGGAAGAGCCTTGCTTCTGCTCAATTGGGCAGACTCGAGTGCCTGAAACTATGATTGGAGTGATAGATACGAAAGCATCACAGAATACCCGTGTTAACCACCGTTTTTGTTTTTTTTTCCACCGACTAAGTGAGGTGACCAAAATCCATCACCCCTCCCATAATCCTGGGGGAGGACTCAAACGGCACCGCACTTGTGTCTCTCGAGCTGCAGTTGTCCAAGGACGACGGTATTTACTTACCATCATACTCACCACCAAATTGACAAACACATACACGGCTTACCTTGTGATAAGCGATTATCAGCGCCGCTTAAATGATGTCAGTACCTTTTTTTTTTTTTTTTTTTTGACGGGGTGGAAAATCCCTTTGGATCTCCGGCTCCTCGGGGACCCAGGAGCCAGGAGTATGTGGTGATTCCACTAAAAACCACCCCGACGGCCGGCCTTAGGTGTCCTACTCTGGGATGCCAGTACCTAACGTCTTTCAATACAGCTGGAAAAACAAAGGAACTGTTGGTTATTCGTATACTCATAATATTTAAATATTCATTTTACATCTGTCACACAACTCCTTCTAGTTTCAAACTAAGCAGAGCTTGAACTATGAAAGCTAGATTAGAGATCGAATACTAAGATTTCTTATTTTAAGATGTATTTTTTGTAAATACATACAGAAAACACTCAAACTCCGAAACAAATATTTGCAAATCATACAAACATTTGGTCTGAGACCTCAGCACGGCAGTCGCATAGGTTACCAACGTACCACCGAGGCAGTCGATGCCTCGATAGTTAAAAATGAATCATCATCATCATCATCATCATCATCAGCCTATCGCAGTCCACTGCTGGACATAGATGAAAAGAAAATAAAAAATAAAGATAAATATGTATATTTAATCAAAAAAGAGAATAATAACAATATTTTCACACATCTCACACACGGCCGTCTGATCCCAAACTTGGCAGACCCAAGAACAATTCAATTTAACATTCTCTGTTATAATCATTGTTACTCTTGACTCGCAGTATTGGTAGTCACTTATCATCTGGTGATCCGCCTGATCTTTTGCCACCTACATCATAAAAAAAAAGAATGACCTAAACCACCGTCCGTGTGGTGACGGATTAAGAATACCGAGTGTTATTACTCCTTTTCATTCCGTGGGTGTCGTACGAGCCGACTAAGAGAGCAAACTACGCAAGACAACAGCACTGCATAGAGAAGGAAAACTTGAAGCAAATCCTATAGCAACCCGTCTGCCAGTGTGGTATAGTAGGCCAAACCCTTCTTTCTAAGGGAAGGCCTATGTCCAGCAGTGGACTATTAAATGCTGTTGATGGTGATGATGAATGACCTAAATGACCTAATGATATTGGTTGTTCTTTTGAGCAGAGACCATGGCTAATGATCCTTTGGATCCTACCTATATATCTAGTCTAAAGCTAGATAGTTAACTAAGGCACAAAAAGCCACCAGATCAGAGTTTCGGGAATGAAGTACCTGAGAAGTCTAGAATGAATGAAGTATGGCTGGATAGGAACAATTTTAAAAGAGACGATAATCCCTGGATTTTTTTCGTCCTTTCTTCTCAGGGCTAGTCCAGTTAGGAAAGGCCGAACTCATCAGCCTAAAAACAGTTTGACATGCAAGTGTTCCTTTAACCTATTTGCAGAATAAACGATTACATGTAAAGACTCAGTTTTAGTGACATACCAGTAAACGTTAGAGTTTCATGATTGGGGGAATTCCTTCACACGACGGAACACCGCGATCACATAAAAGGGTGAATCCCCGTATAAGCAGATACGCCGAAGGAGGTTTTTAGAAAGAGGTATTGTGGAGATTCCCCCATCTGTCGTTATGAGTATACCTCAGACATACTTAAAACCAGATAAAATGTGAATTTAGCAGTCTTATTTATTCATAGTTTTTATTTAGTGTTATTGGCATTTAACTCGTCTTTTAAAAAACTTCTTTAAAAAAATATATTAAAAATATTATCGCGATTCCCAAGTTGTCATTACTGCACATAACCCTAATTTTCACTTTCACTTCGCACGATTCAGTGGTAATAACGTCCAGGCATAACCCGGGACCTAATCAATCAACTCATGTCAAAATTCTAAGTTCTCCATCCTGGTGTCATCAGTGAAAGTGGGCGTGGAGTGATCGACACGTAGCTCCATGTGGGAAACGCTGAACACAATGGCGGCTTCGTCGACGGGAACCGCAGTATTGTTTAGAAAATGTTACTTACTCCGATAGACAAAAAAAAACTGAATAATTGTAGAATATATTCTGTGACTGTCACTTGGATATGCATGATGTCTGTTGAGAGATACATCGCTGACAGTTGTAGTCGGAAGTGGACGAATGGTGAGTAAAACACCTTATATTTTGTATTATTTTGCGTGAATATCATAAGTATGAAGTTCATTAAAGAA